GGGCAGTGTGGTCAAAGAAAAAACAAACATTAGAAACAGATAAAATATTGAAGACTTGAACAGAAACAACTAAGTATTGACACTGGGCTCTTACTGTTGCCCTCTTTAACTGATCAGGGAAGAAGGTAGAGATGGGGGTCCTCGTCTGCGCCAAACTCCCAATTTCCCGAAGCAATAACATAATCATCTCCAGCCCCCTTGTTGGAGTCTGGGAGGTCGGCTACGATTTTGAATTCTGTAGACCTCGGCTTAAGATAATAAATGAAGCCTTTTTCTTTCAAGTTAAGGGCATACATGGTGTAACAATACTGTATGTCGGCTAAGGTGATCCTAACGTTTTCCTGTTTAGCTAAGGCGATAATACCAAAAATCACTCGATAAGAGTTGATTGCTAGTTGCATGGGGTTCAACTTATAATAATGAAGAATCTCGCGAAAAAGGATGTTGAGTGGGAGCCGGAGTCCGCACTCAGTAAAAGCTACAATATGAAGGGGCATGGCGTTTTCTGTAGGCATGATGGAGTCGTCATCCCCAGCCAGTCTCAGGTGGACATCGGCAGGGATGGAGAACTCTTGCCTAAAGTACTCAAGTTTGGTCGGGGTATCTACCCTATGTCTCCACATACCCATGATATCGGCTTCTATTAGAAGGGTTGAAATTCAGAAAGATGTTTCTTATTGATGGGACCTCGGCAAGCAGTGAAAGTAGGTGCAGGTTTTAGTTTTTTCCTAAGTTATGGGTTTTACAAACAAATCCCAAACCTAAAGCTATGAAGATAAAGATCAAAGGTACAGATCTGGAAAAGATACAAAAAAAAAAAACAGAAAACAAATACGAAGTTTCAGAGTCAAAAACAGAGATGGACTATTAAGAACATGAGGAATACAAAGGGTTGAAGGCCAGGAAACAGTAGCAAGACGTGCAAGAAACACTAAGAACAATATATGTATTCAGGGCATAAGCAAAAAATAAAATGAACGCATTCAGATGTATGATCTACAAATTGATTACTTAAGAAAAGCAGTAGTAAACAAGAAATTCCAGGAAAGATCAAGAACTGGAATAGAAAGAAACAGATGCTTACCAGAAAAAGGGAGGCCGGAAAGGGATTTGCCGACGTCCTACGACGGTTGCAAGAGCAGAAGACCGGTGGAAATCTCACCGGAAGGGGTGAACGGAGAAGGATGCAGAGCTTTGGAAGCTTGTGCAATGGCGGATTTGAAAGAAAGAGTTTTAGAGAGAGAAAAAAGCAAGAGAACTCAGATGCAAAAGTGAAGAGACGAAAGAAAGGGGGAAAGATTTTGTCAAAAAATGAAAACGGCGGCAAAAACAATCAATACGCCTAAAAGAGCGCATACGTCAGACGGCGCATGTGAAGAAGAGATGACTTATGGGCACGTCACAGGCAAGAGCCAGTAAGAAAGAAACGCGTGTCTGAAACAGTTGAATTGAAGTGCATGACAGCTCATGCGCGTAAAAGGTTCCTTAAAAATCTTTGATTTTTTAGGGAAAGTATGCCGGCCAGAAATGAATGATCTCGGCTGTCAAATCTTAAGCCGATTTACTGGAAGAAAATACAGATATAGGTTCCATCACCTCAGAATGCCGAGGTAATAGAACCTAGGGGGCAGTTGTGGGGATGTATTTTCTGAATAACAACACGTGGCAAGGTGACGCCGACGTGTCAGCCGAAGTGTCACGTGTCCTGGTTGTGACGCCGAGGTTATCTCGGCGAGGCCGAAGTTATCTCCGAAGATATCGGAATCCGAGATAAGCGGATAATGGATAAGGAGCAAGAGTCCTACAGTAAAGAGAAGACTTTGCTAAGATAAGGATAAAACTCTTAGGGAGTTTATCTTTATCTCTTGAGAAATCCAAAATAAGTACAGAATTGGAGTCCATAGAAGTCAAGCTTCTAGTGGGACTAGGATTGAGTAAACTATAAAAAAGAGGCACCCCGTGGGTCTAAGGTACGCAGTTTTATACTTTGAGTAATAAGTTAGCACTTGAATATCTTTGAGAGATATACTGACTTGATCGTCGGAGTGCCCCCGGGTGGAAGAGCCACCGCCGGAGCCTTTTCTTTCTGTTACAGGTTAGTTTAAGCCATCTATTCTACCGGTGCTCTCCAGCTGATTACTAGGCGGACAGTGTGGTCAGAAAATCACCCACACATGTATCTTTTTATAAAAATTTCAAAAATTATTAAATAATCAATTTTCAGGCGAAGCTTAAAACTAGTGTGGTATAGTGTAGAACATAGAAAGAATTACATTTCAATGAGTTTTTAAAAAATATTTACAATTACATAAAAAAAATTTAAAATTTTAATTATTAATATTTATAAAATTTATCATATTTCTGTGTAACTTTTTTAAAACCAATTATATTTTTCCCTAGAATATATCCCCCAGGCTCTGCCTGCCACATAGTTGTTAAGATATAATTCCACCTAATGCAGCCTTTATCAATTATGTTTCTTTAATTATTTATTATTTTTTATTTGGACCGGAAGCCAATAATTTTTTATTCAACAATGATTAAGGGTCATAATTTTTGTGGTTCAAATAGCTCACAATTGTTAAAACGATGGCTTTTTGAGTATAAAACAACTTCAAAATTGTCAAAACGACGTCGTTTTAACAATTTTGAATCATTTGAGTCATAAAAATTGTGACCCTTAAATATTTTTCTTTTTTATTTTACTTTTTATAAATAAATGTTAAAATCAATCTATATGATGAAATTAATTACTAGACAAATCATAACGAGTCTTCAAAGAAGTTGTTATCACAGTGTCATGATCAGAGTAAACCCAAAATGTTATTTTTAAATTTATTTATACTGACGTGATAAACTTTTACTTGTGCGTTTGTTGATTCTAAGAAATCAGTAATTACCCATAGACTAATGCTTTGGGCCCGGCAAATCGAGGCTCCAATGTCTCGAATTATTATGTATATTTGGTTTAAATTTTTTGAATTAAATTTTTTAAAAATTAAATTTTTTATTTTTTATTTTTAGTGAATATTTTTCTTTCTTTATTTATTTTTAAATAAGATTATGTGGGTTTGGTTTGAGCTTTCTGGATTAAGTTTTTTGAAAATTAAGCTTTTTGGTTTTTGTGTTTTTTTGTTTTTAGTAAATGTTTTTAAAATTTTAAACATTTTTTTTTAGTTTTTTAGATGCACCTTACTTAGATGTATTTAAAATGTAAAAAATTTATGAAAAAATATTTTAAAAAATTAATAAATACATAAAAATACAAAAAAATATACTGAATTCTTGTATTTTTTTTATATTTTTGGTAATTAGTAAATTCTAAAAAAATTCACAAAAATTATATTTTTTATGTGTATTTATATTACGTGTGTCTAAAAATTAAAAAAAAATTGCTTAAAATATTTAAAAAAATCAGTAAAAATAAAAAAACACAGATAACAAGAAATTAGAATTTTCTAAAAAATGTTTTTAGAAAACCAAAAATAAGCAAGATGATTATTATTTTTTTTCTTTTTTATTTGTTGGACTGTGTTAATTTGGTTGTTATTTTTATTTATTTATTTGTTAGGCTGTATTGGTTTGGTTTTTTTTTTTTAGAATGGTAGTTATGTGTAGGGGTGTGTTAAAAAACTAGACATCCCGCACTAATTCAGCCTGTGTGGTTTAATAAGGTGAGTGAGTTGAGTTGGACTAATTGGGTGATAAAATTGATTGATCAATTAAGGTTGCTGGTTAAAATTTGTTAATTTCATATAATTTTGTACGAGTCCCTACTAATAAATTTTAACCACCTACTAATAAATTTTAACCAGCAACCTAATTGAACGATCAATTTTATCACCAGCTAGTCCAACTCAACTCACTCCCTCTCTTAAACTACACAAGCTGAATTGACACGAGATGTGTAATAATTTTTTAATATACCTTTGCACATCACTATCCTTCCCCCAAAAAAATAATAATAATAATAATTTCGAGACATGCCAGCCTGGATTAGCACTGCCGTTACCCATAACAATCTATTTTATTTCAGATAACTTTAAATCCCAAGCAAATCAGTAATTACCCATAACAATCTATTTTATTTCAGATAACTTTAAAAATAATAATTTGTGTTGGTATATATCTAATATTTTTTCAAACCAAACAAATCTCACCATCAATTTTGGCTTGTTTTGTTAATTTGACAGTATTTTGAGGAGATAGTTAAAAGTTAATTTTTAATTTTTTTATTATTTTATGTGAAAAATAATATGACTCAAAATGAATTAAAAAATATTTTTTGACTTTAACTCATGTTCTCAAAATGGGCCTCGGTTAAAAAAAAAAAAAGTTTTTTTTCTTTAATTTTTTAACTTTCTTAAATCACATTATTTTTCTATTTTTATACATTCATTTAAAAAATTAATTTTTAACCTCCTTTCGAAGACAAATCTTTATCCGTCATGCGTTTTTGAAATCACCTTTAGGTCCAGTTTGTTTTGAGGTATAGAAGGAATGATGAGATTAGGATGGAGGTGAGACACATTTCGTATTATATTTGTTTATAGATTTGAAAAATGGATTGAGATGAAAGATGTGAAGGTGATATTAGAAAAATAGTCCGCTAGACTAGAAATTTTTTATCTTTGTTATTTATTTATTTATTTTTTATCTATTGGGCATTTTTTTTGAACATTAATATTTAATTTTTGATTAAGTAAAAATCATTGTTTATTTTTTTTCTGGAATTTATTTATTTATTTTATTTTTTACATATTAGAATTAATGTTAAATATTTTTATATTTTTTTATTATTTTATATAAAAATAATTTAATAATCCTACATCAATAACAATTATCAAAACAAATAAATCCTTTCTATTCTCCGTCCGAAAACAAACTAGCCGTGTTGACTTTGAAAGGACCTTTATTCTGGAGAGGGCTACTCTACTCTCTATCTATCTGTATTTCTTTCCTTTCCACTTAAGTATTCCCAAACACTTTCTTGTGTATATATACCCTCAAAACTCATCCTCCAATCTATTGTCTACTAATTCCCAAAATCTTTTGCAACCAATTACATCTCTATCTGTTTCTCTGATCTTTCTTTCTTGTTTTTGTTTTTTGTTTTTCTTGTTTTGGGTTTGTGTTGCAGAGATGAATGATCCAAAGTATGCTTATCCTTACCCTGCTCAAGGTACCTTCTCTTCTCTTCTCTTCTCTTCTCATCACTCTCCTCTGTGACTAATCAATCAAGATGATTTCAGACTTGTTTGTTTGGTGGAAAAATTTAGTATTTTTTCATAATTGGTTGGGAATTAATTTGGGGCTTCTTGTGCTTGACTGCTATGAAGATCTGGTTGACTTCGATGATTACCCATCATATCCCTATTTGTTTGTTTGTTATCCTAAAGTTTTAAGGCCATGTTTGTTTGGCCGGGGATTGGATTAACAATCATGGGCCATCAAAATCATCTTTGATTGTGTTAAAATGTACAGGACTAATTGGACTACCAATCCCTTGAATTGAAAGTAGAGTCCATTTTTTTTTTAATATTTAGTGAAATTTTAAATTATTTTTTAAGTAAAATTTAAATTTTTTAGAAAAAAAAAAAACTATAATATTAAAAATTAAAAAATATTAATTTTATCTATTAATACTAGCTATTACTAATAGTAACATATAAATAAATATTCTTTTTATCTTACCTCTCTAACTTATATCACCTGATAAGTCTTCCCACTCAAGCCCACCCTCGCCAAACAAAATTGGCCTACGATTCGTGATAATATTTGGATTTTAAAAGGGAAATTATTTAATAATTTTGGAATACGTGATCATACTCTAATCACTAATTATTTAGTTTCATGTTATTCTCTCGTTCTCAACATAAATCGTTCTCAACATAAATCGTGAGTGTCTATCTCACTTTACTAATTAAAACCTTATGGATTAATATTCCGAAAATACTAAATAACCTATTTTCATTTTCATTTTAGGTTTTAATATAAAATATTATTTTTATTCCCTCAACTTTTTTTATTATTTTATTTTATCAGAGGTGAATATTCTGCATCATTAATCAGAATCGTATGCATTTTATTCCCAATTTGAGAATTTCTTTATAATAATGATATATTCTTTTTCATTAATTATTGTTGTAATTGTGAGTGAGTGAATGAAAATCAAATTTTAGATGTCAGATAAGTTTTGAGTGATGGAAGAGAGTAATAGAGTTTGGAGTTTTAATATCAACTTTAGGGATATGGCAATACATAATAAAAATAAAAAATGCAACATATGCAACATGGCCCACTTTAGAGCTCGACGTCTCAAATATTTTTGCTGGGTTTTTCAATTCCCACAAAAAAAAAAAGAAAATTGAATTGAAATTGTTGATTTCTCACATTTAATTAAGAAATATGAGTAGTGGGTGATTTTGATGATAGCAGATTTGCCATTATATTTTAATTAATTAATTTTTTTGGTTGGAACAAGGTTATTATCAAGGGCCCCCAGTGATGGCACCACCTCAGTATACTGCTCCACCACCACAAAGGAGCCAACCTGGTTTCCTTGAAGGATGGTAATATTCATATCTAATCTATTTTCTTCTCTCTTTATTACATAATATATATAGAGAGGACATGTTTGTTTGGAGCGATTAGAGGAGAGGTTAAATTGAACACTAATGCTTCAGGCCTCGAGAGCTTCAGGCGCGAATGGTGCGAATTTGTAGTCACCGGACGACCGGCCGGACGATCACTGGGACGACCGGATAAAGCATTTGTCTACCGCAGTTGTCACCTTGTCGACCACGGTTGTCAGCCTCTTTGTCGGACGACCGGTTAAACAAATTCGAGGCAAATTCGTGCCTCAATATTCGAGGCTTGTAGCGCGCCTCTAATTTGAACTAGGAGATATGTGGGATATACTGTTTGGATTTTGTCTCTTAAATCTCTCAATTTGTTTGGCTGAGCTCACTATTATTCATCAATATATCAGTCAATACTATTTGATATAGATCGATATATGATTATATCACCGATACTTACGCATATCCCGATATAACTGTTTAAAACTATGCCCACTCCAAACGATTTCTTCTTTTCCTCCCATACCATCAAATGGTTAAAACTAATTCTTTAAATTTTATTCTATTTTTATTATACTCTAGCTCAATAATCCCATAATCATATAATTTCATCCAACAATCTCATGATTAATTAAAAAAAATACATGTGAGTTCTGTTAAATTAGTTATCCTATCTCCTAATCCAAACCTCCAAACTAACATGACCATATATTATTAATAATTATATTTTAATTGAGCTAGTGATGAGAAAAAAAAAAAAAAAAAACAGATGAAAAAAAAAAAAAAACAGATGGCCAAAATATCACTTTAGATGGGCCTACACACACATTAGAGCTATTAGAGTTCATTTTCTAGAGTTCTCAAATATTTTTCTTTAATAAATATGTATGTGTTTGTTTGTTTGGTTATTTATCTTTTCAAAATTCAAATTTTGATTGGTAATTTTTGTTTGAAATTGCAGCCTTGCAGCATTGTGTTGCTGTTGCCTCATAGACGAGTGTTGCTGTGACCCCTCCATATTCTGTGTTTTCTAGGTTTCTAGGTGGTCCCCTGTTGTGGGTTTTATTTTATTTATTTTAATTATTGTTAAATATTATAATTTTTTTTTTTGTTTTTGTTTTTGTCTTCTTGGTGGTTGTGATGCTCAAAATAATTTAGTGGTTATCATTACAAATTAGTTATGGAATTTATTCTCTTTTTCGAACCTTCTTGGTTGTCACATTATCATCCATTGCAATTGTTCACCATGGCCAATTTGTTTTAACTTTTCAATTGGCTTGAGATAATATTATCATGAAAATTTTGTGATAATAAACTTTAAATTATACAAGAGTATCATATAAAGTTATATAAGCATATCACAACAACGTGAATCATTCATTTTTTATTTTTTATTTTTTATTATTGTTTGTTGAACGCAAGAGAATGGGAAAACACCTTAGAAAGCTAAGGCATTACACAAGGCCGATGGGGGATTTGAGACCTAATGAACTGGCAAACTACCATTGAGGAAGGCATTTGCAGTCCAATGGGCTGCCCTGTTAGCCGATCTCGGATACCAGGAAAAAGAAAAAGATCGGAATCTATCTAACAAGCTAATGTCCTCTATGATGGGAGCACAATCCCAAGGAGGGTCATTCTTAGACACACATAGTGAAATGACAACTTTGTTATCACCGGCAATCTCGACGTGAGTGGTTAAAAGCATATGCCATTAAACAAGCCCACCGAATGGCAAAGGCTTCCCCTTGCATAATTGTCATCACTTTCACATGACTAGCTGCCCTTTCCACAATATCTCCGCTGCAATCCTAAATAGAACAACAATGGTTGCCATAAAGGATCCAGGTTTCATGGCTACATCACAATTTGCTTTCAACAATCCCTGCTGGAGAGGAGGGGATGCCAGCCTGTAATAGGTGGGTCGAGAGGTGGGCACATGGTATGAGACTGATGCTGACTGGCTGAAGAAGCTCCGAGAAATTCTAGCCTATCCATGGTGGCCCGACAGATATTACAGACAGGATCCACTAGGTGATGATTGAAGCCTTTATCGTTTCTCGACTTCTAGATGTGCCATGCATGTCAAAGAAGCTTGCAGAATAAAATCTCACGATCAAGGTCATTGAAAAAGCCATCAAACAAGTCGCAAGTCCACATTTTGATAGAGGATATCTCGCTTTGCCGAATCTTTAAGGAGCCCAATTCACCCCAAACTAAATTGCCTTTGTCCAGTTACATTCGCACAGCATATGTTCAACAAGTTAAGCTTCCGATTGACAGATACTACAAGCCGCATCCCTAGAACATTTGTGACGGTACAAGTTCTCCTTCGTAGCTAGGAGCTTATTGCAACATCTCCACTAGAAATGCCTACTTTTAGGTGGAATAGACAAATTCCAAATCATCTTCCACACCTGCTCAAACATCTGGAGAGAGAAGGAAACAAACTCAGGCCTTTGGGCTTGATGAAGCTCCATTTCAGTATGATACTCAGAAGTAGGCATCACATAAATCCTATCTAGATCCTCCTTCGCCACCTCATAACTTAAGGCCCCTACATTCCAAGCCTTAGTGATAGGGTGGATAACATCCTTAACCTTGTATATAGAGCTCCCACACGACTTAGAAATTGGACCTGAAAATTCTTCGCCTTTGCAACCTATTTATCTTCCTAGAAATTCACAAAAGCACCATTGTTGATATGCCAACGAATGCCTCAATCCAACACCTCACGACCATCAATGTGACTTACCTATGCCCAAGAAGCCCTCGACCCTTTAGAAGCATGCATAAAGCTTGTATGAGGGTAGTAGATGCCTTTCAAAAACTGAGCGCAAAAGGAGTTTGGGTACTTTGCAAGCCTCCACCCTTGATGGGCTAGAAGAGCCTTGTTAAAACATCTAAAATCCCTAAATCCCAACCCTCCTTTGAATTTAGGTTTTGCTAAGTCAACCCAAGAGGCCCAGTGAATCCCTCTGCAATCCGGGTCCCTTTTTCACCAAAAATTACTTAGAATAGAGTTCATGAAGGCGCACAATTTTTCAGGAAACAAAAAACAAGCCATAACATAAGAGGGGATAGCTTGAGCTGTTAGTATATATTAGTATATATATTAGCTGTCAAACCTTTAATAATGTTGTTTGGTTTGTGCTTCTGCTTTCGGTTCTTTCGGTTTGTAAGGTTCTTTTTGTCCTCCCTTTCCTCTATAAAGGAGAGAGCTCAACTAAACATTCAAATACAACATCAATATACTGAATATATCAATATATACACAATTTATTCTCTCTCTTTCTCTATACATGAATCTAACATGGTATCACAGAGCAGGGTTAAAGACCCTGATCATTCTGCTTCACCGGCGGGCGGCAGCCTCGCCTTGGCCGCCCGCCGGACCTCTACATATACCTTCACTCCACTGCCACATTTCTTGCTGCCGTGAACCATCACTCTCACCTTTGACATTAATGGAGGCCACATTTCTTGCTGCCATGAACCATCACTATTTCTTCCTGCAGCTTTGTCACAGCATAGATCTTACCCATTATTTCATCATCATCATTTGCTCACCATCACCATATTTTTTATTCAATTTCCATCCATAACATACAACCACAAAATCCCTCAACTATCGCTGCCTATATTTACATTGCCATTACAGTCCTTACATTTTTCAGTTCCACATTCCAAAAAAAAAACAAAACAAAACAAAACAAAAACAAAAACAACAACCACCAAACACAAATTCACAACCAACAACAACAACACCATAACAGCTTTTTTTGTCTCCTCCGGTCCCAGCTCGGTAGCGACATTTCCACCCCAGCTTCATTTGCCACCAGCTTCGTCCCTCGCCTTTGCAGCTCTTGATGATTTTGCCTCCGCCTTGGCTGCACTTTCAAATGTAATTACTCCCCTTTGGCCGTCAAATGCAAAGTATGAGGACACTCCGAATCGGGCCTTGGAGGTGGCTTGCCGTTTCAGCTTTTTATTTTCCTTCTTCAGTGAGCTGATTTCTCCTCGAGCATCTTTATACATCCGTTGCAGCAGGGAGAGTTGCGCTGACAGTTGATACACTTCAAACATCCTAGTCTACAGTCGATGGGACAAGTTCGTGACCGCAGTCATGGTCTCCACACATGACTTCAGCGTATTTGAGTTCGCCTCAATGTCCGATTGTGTTGCCATTATCTGCTCCACTGACATTTCTGGATAGTTGAGCACAGGGGACGGCGGAAGGTCGCTTGGTTGAAGTTCCAGGGCAACCGCACCGGTTATCTCTCTTGCGGACTCGTTGAGGTCTGGAAAGAGAGTGAGCGGACCACAGGAATAAGATGCCATGTTATGGGTTGCCGAGTGTTTCAGAGTGTTTTTAGGGTTTGTAGCTCTCAGAGAACAGCTCTCAGAGAACGAAGAGGTTTTCATCCTGTTTTGTTTTGCACAACCTCAGCCTCAGCCTAGGCCTTCGTTTAAATATACCATGTAACAAATCGGGAGCGCAAGCCGAGGCCGACACATCGCACGCCGCTCGACGCCATAATGTCGGGCACACCTTTTGACAGATTGGGTATGCCTTTTGAGGGCGTGACTTTTAAGAGCGCGCCTTTTGAGGGCGCGATATATATATATATCTTTTGGGCAACCTATATACACGAACATACAGTGTATTCACCAACGGTTCGACACGACCACACAGTGTCTGCTACAATAGTTCGGCATGAACCTGTAAACTGTCCCGACATTAATTTTGGTTATCCTTTACATCGGTCCGGTATGACCCCGTAAACTGCCCCGACATTGATTTCGGTTAGCCTCTACATCGATCCGGCATGACCCCGTAAATTGTCCCGACATTGATTCCGGATAGCCTCTACATCGGTCCGGTATGACCCCGTAAACTGTCCCGACATTGATTCCGGTTAGCTCCTACAACGGTCTGACACGACCACACAGTGTCTTTTACAGCGATCCGACACGACCATACAGTGTCTTTACCAATGGTCCGACACGACCATACAATGTCTTCACCAACGGTCTGACACGACCATACCGTGTCTTCACCAACGGTCCGACACGACCGTACAGTGTCTTCACCAACGGTCTGACATTACCATACCATCTCCTATCCTATTTTATTTTCCTGTTTTGTTACTCTCTCCAAACTCAAGTTGGTTTGTGCCTATCCTCCTTGAGTTTGAAGGGGGCTGTTAGTATATATTAGTACATATATTAGCTGTCAAACCTTTAATAATGTACCTTTAATAATGTTGTTTGGTTTGTGCTTCTGCTTTCGGTTCTTTCGGTTTGTAAGGTTCCTTTTGTTTTCTCTCTCCTCAATAAAGGAGAGAGCTCAATTGAACATTCAAATACAACATCAATATACTGAATATATCAATATATACACAATTTATTCTCTCTCTTTCTCTATACATTGTTAAAACATTTAAAATCCCTAAATCCTAACCCGCCTTTGAATTTAGGTTTTACTAAGTCAACCCAAGATGCCCAGTGAATCCCTTTGCAATCCGGGTCCCTTTTCTACCAAAAATTACTTAGAATAGAGTTCATGAAGGTGCACAATTTTTCAGGAAACAAAAAACAAGCCATATCATAAGAGGGGATAGCTTGAGCAATGGCTTTTATGAGGATTTCCCTTCCAACATAGGAGAGAAGTTTTGCTTTCCAACCTTGAAATTTGTCCAAAACCCTTTCAACCAAATAATTGTAGGCCTCCACTTTTGACCTCCCCAACATGACGGTGACCCCAAGTATTTTGATCTAGCTTGGACCGGAGACATTCTCATCAGGTCATATACCTCATTTTCCACCATCAGCCTAACCGAAGAAGCAAATTGGATCCCAGATTTGGCAAAATTAATAGATTGCCCTGAGTCCTCACAATACACCCTAAGAACATCAAGGACTTTCTGACGCTGCACTTGATCCGTCTTAAGGAAGAGGAGAACATCATCCGCAAACATGAGGTGAGAGAGCACAAGACAAGTTCGTCTTACCCTAAGGCTAGAGAAAGCCTTATCATCAATCCCCCACTATAGAAGCTTAGACAAAACATCCATGATCAGGAGAAACAGATAAAGAGATAGGGGATCTCCTTGTCTTAGGCCCTTCGTTGGTTTGAAAGAAATTCTTTTTGCCCATTAACAAAGACCGAAAAGTAGTGACACACTTCATAACCCAATGGGTCCAATGCTCACGAAA